CCACATGGCCAATCCCCAGCAATTTAGGAAGAAGCCAGAGTGGTTGTTCCTTTGTGGGTGCTTCCTTTATACATAACTGCATTGGGGTTTTATTTTTCCTGTCTTTGCAAAAGTAATGCAAACAGGTTCTGATGCAGTACCTATTAAGGATGTCAAGGATTGACAAAGCAGTCTAATCTGAAATAGCCTTATTCCTTGTAGGAAAAGCCTTATGCAAGAGAATTGATCAGGAAGAGACTGGGTTTACTTAAGAAACTTCTCAATTATATGCCTGTCAGAAAGGGGCATCTCTTTAACTGAATATAGAATATAAGCCAACCTCAACCCATCAAATTCACAACTGTTGAGTTCTCCTCCAGGCCCACTTCTGAACTGGATCATAAAAGGTGTATATGATGGCATGTACCAGTGATCCTTCAAAGAGCTCACTACATTGGTCATCATTAGGAAACAAGTTATTATACAGTATTCTATTATTTTAATCAAATGCTAAATATGCAGGGCTGACATGTCATAAGACATTAGAACAGTATATTTAAAATAAGGTGCTAATCAGGCAGTGGAGAAAATAGGAGCAAAACAGAATTAGATATTGATAGCCCAGAAGAAGCTTCTCTAAAATGTTTGAGCATGAGCTGAGCTCTAAAGAATAGTTCAGAAAACATTCTGTTTTATTGCTAATTGTTATCATGTAAATGCTGGGTTCTTCCAGTTTTTCATGGTAGGGAGTCTGTGGTGTGTGCTTTTCTGGTTTCTTCACAAAGTGGCATAAGGTTGGGGACATGACATTTGCTGATTTGGGGCCATGACACAAAACTGCAATTGCTCACATGCACACCAGAAGGAACAAATGTCCTGCAAAAAGAGCCTCCAGGATGATGCCAAATAATCCAGTTGTCCTAATTGCCCACAGGTCACACAGATGTAACAAACAGATCTCAGTGCTATGAGGTTTGACTTTAGGTCCAACTGCTTAGTAATCAGTAAGATCTAGCAGAGGAGGGTTTTCACAAAATCTTATGCCGAGTCACTTTATGTTGAGGAATAGAATCAAAACCTTTCTTTTAACTATTAAAAACATAGTCACTTCTCAGCCAGACCTCTGACAATGACTAAAATTGACTGCCTTTTGTAACTAAATTGCATCTTCATTCCCCTTTTTAAAATGGGTGTGACAGCATATATCTGGGCTCACCTCTGTTACATGTCCTGTTCTCATGGTAAAGCAGCTCTGACTTCCATCACCAGCAGTTCAGTCTAGGACGCATTGGTCAGCAAATGTTCGTTAAGTCTAGTTGGATCTGTTGATAATTTCAGTGCTTTAGGAGTCTTACACGAGAAAATCCTGTATCAGTTTGGACTGGTTTTCTTCAGCTTATAACCAAGATATTATTTAGTTTCTTTCCATCTCATTCAACCTCATCTGACATTTCTTGTTTGTACAAGTGGTTTTACAGCGTCAAGCTCTCACTTAGCTTTGGAACAACTCTCTATGTTTCATCTCGCCTGCAGACAGCAGAAAAAGATTGTGAAGTACAAAATTGTACCCCAATAGTCATTCACCCAAAAGTGACAGAAAGAATGAACACACACATGCACGCACGCGCACGCACACACACACACACACGCAGTGGTTTCTTCAGAGGGGATAAATAAGGTTCCCTACAGAAGAGCTTTAAAAATAGACTCATTTCAATAAATTGAATAAAGGCGCCATCCAGGCCTGCCTTTGCTTTCATTTGCCAAGCTGAAGCCTTGTTTGATTGTTTTAATTGGTGTAGGAATGTGTGGCAGTGCTCAGTATGAAGGGTGCTCTGCCAAAAAGCTTCCTGAAGTGACCCAGTAGTTCACAAGGAAGCTGGAACCACATTGAATTCTTCTCCCATCATCAGGAGCCCAATGCCACTGTTTATGAAACTGATCATTCTGCTTCCTTGTAGCCACTGTCAATTTCCTGACAAGTCCCTATGCCCTGTCTCAGTGCCTAGTGCCGAAAGCTTAAATTATTTTTTCTCTCTGAGGAGCTATTACCTGGGTTTTCATTTATTAGGACATTGTGTGTGTTTGTATGTGTGTGTGTATGTGATATCTCATCAAGAACTAAATGGAGACATATCTATCTGGTTGGAAAATACAGCACCCTGGGCCATGCTGAAACAGCAGTTCTTGCTGTGGACGGTGCTCAGGAGGTTCACTTTACCAGTGATTGGGGCCATTGTTCCCTCTGTATTGTTTCACAAAGTAGGGGTGATTTCCATCAATATCTGATTCCTTCCCTATCCTTAATCCAGGGATCTGTAAGATAGTCTAAACTTGATCTTATGATTTTATAACAAAAACAAAACAAACAACAACCAAAAATCAAAGAAAACAAAACCCAGCTGGGATCAAGATGGAAATGTACCAAAAAGCATTCAACTTGCCTTCTCCAGGACGTTCTAGAAATTCACTTAACAGCAGTTCCCCACAAAGAGGGTTCCCAAACAAACTGTCCAGTTAGGCAGGGCGCCTATGTCTGGTCACTACCAAAAAAGAAACAATAGAGAATGCTAGTTAAAGAAAGCATTGCATAACTTTTTTCCCCCTTTGAAGCTTAAAACTTGTTTGTTTTGTTTGTTTGTTTTTAATGCAAGCTTTTCTTTTCCACTTTATTCCAAATATGGTTAACTATACAAGTAATCTGAAAACAGATCTGAGTGGTAAGTAAAAACTAAAAATAAAAATTTAGCCTGATTATTTTCAAATACTTTTGGCAATTGGATTTAGCCTAATGCTATATATTGCCATATATAGATTCTACCTTAGCAGAAATAGAAATGTTTGGTAATTAGCCTTTATACATCGTATCCAAAAAACACTTCAAAAGTTCTGGAAAATATTTTGTGTTCCCTGAAGTAAGGGAAACACTTCCCCATCCCCAATTTCTTGTAATCTTAATTTGCATTATTCATGTTCTCAATGAACTCTTCTTTCTTTGAGTAAACTTTAATACAGCCCATGTTAGAATCCTCATGAATCACAAATCAATGGGATCCAAGTGAGGCACTGTGAGGTCTCTTTATGAGACTTTTAACAGACTTTTTTAATTAGAAAGAGGAAGCTCTGCTTCTGGGTCCTTTAGAAGCTCAAAATATGTTTCTGAATTAGCAGAACCTTATTTCCCTTCATGAACATATTAAGCAAAATTACATGCAACCCACTATGGCTGGGCTTGGCAGCCTGACAGGGCATCATTATGTCTTAAGACAAGTCAGAGAACAAAAGCGAGTGAATAATGTGGAAAAAGAGAAATGATTATGAACCAAGAGAGTGTGGCGTTTAGGGCTCTGGCTAACTTCAGGTTACCTTGATGTAAACATAGATCTCAGTGCACCTAAGCACTAAGATCCTCCTAGGGGCTCCCTCGCAGTTTATAAATCAATCTTTTCAAGATTTCATGACAATCCTTACAATCTTAAGAGAGAAATCATCAGTCTGCAGAAAGGAAGATCATTCTATCATCAATTTATAATGACCTGGTCAACCTAAATCAAGTGAACTTACTTACACTCACTAACTAGTTGTTTCCTGAGCAGCCTTGGGGTGCAGATAAAGACTTTGGAGGATGCATTTCATGCTGAAAGGACTATTTTGGTTCTAAAATCTCCAGTGGCAGAGCCCTGATGAGAACCAGAGGATTCTAGATTTATTTCAAGAAGGACCACAACAGACTTACTCATTAGGAGGCCCAGGATTGAATCAATCTTGGGGGAGAAAGAAGGAAAAGGAGGAGGAGGAAGAAGAAATAAAATAGCTCCTAATGATGCAATGTTTACCATGTACCACTATTAGTATATCACATGTCTTAGTTCCTTTTCTGTTCCTATCACAGAAGACTACAAACTAGGTAATTTATAAAGAAAAGAGATATATTTCTTATAGTTCTGGAGGCTGGGAAGTCTAAGGCTGAGGGGCTGCATCTGGGGAGGGCCTTCTTGCCAGAGAGGACTCTCTGCAGTCCTGAGGCAGCACGTGGCATCACATGGGGAGGAGGCTCACTGAGAGCCACACTGGCTTTTATAACAGACCCACTCCCATGATAACCCATTAATCCATTAGTCTATTCATGAAGGTAGAGCCCTCATGACCCAAGCACCTCTTAAAGGCCCCACTTCTTAATATAGTTACACTGGAGATTAAGTTTTAACATGAGTTTCAAAGGGAGCAAACATTCAAACCATAGAATCACACATACTTTTATTAGTTCCAATGACAAACCTATAAGGTAGTTTTTATTCTTCTGTATATCAGGAAAAGGAGATTAAGTGGCTCTCCCAAGACCATTTATTTATTCGGCAAATATTTACTATGTACCAGGAACTGTTTTAGGTGTCAGAAAAACAATGGTGAACAAGGAGAAAACTCTACCTTTGTAGAGCTTACATTTTAGAAAAATATTGCTTAACACTTTTTTGATTGACACACAGTAAGAAATATATATTAACCTATCATACAATATGTACATCATATAAACATATGCACACATAAATATTTGAAACAAAATTTTTACATGCAAGCACACATGAACCTATCCTTATTACATGTAATGCATTCTCTAATTTTTTTTTAATTTTATTTTTTTCTTTTTTAAAGCTGGTCGTAACCAATTAAATTGATTTTGTGATCTACTAATGACTCAGAATCCGCAGTTTATAAACATTGTCCTAGTTGGGTTGAATGGAATGGGACTAATATTAATATTATCTAATATTTCTCCAAAACTTGGTGAGTCCAAATCTTTTTCAGTGTACAATTTAATAGGCAGGAAAAGAAAGATAAGTAGAAAGAGAGCTGTCTGTTTTCTTGCAGCCTGAAATGGCTTGGTGGAGCCTGTCTAACTCCAGCATGGATCTCCCAAGATGTTCAAACTGCATCTCTTATTCCTAGTACATCTCTGTTTGCTCCCAGCAATAATAATGTGTTTTATCTTTTCCCTCTAACCCTTTGTTCTCCCTGCATAGGCTGACAACAGAATATCCAGGCCACTATGGTGAGGAAATGGACATGATTTCCTACAGTTATGATTACTACATGCGAGGAGCAACAACTACTTTCTCTTCAGTGGAAAGGTGAGAATAACCCCTTCCCCAGGGGCAAGAGCTTAGAGGTTCTAGGGACCAACTCCATGAAAGGCTGCAGGAATTTTGATCTTGGGTTTTCCTTAGCTTAGTTTCCTGCTTGGTCAAGGATTAACTGAGGGTTTGGAGGGACAACAGGAGGTGATAGGAAGGGAGCTGTCTCATAAACCCACATCATGGAGCAGCTGACCCTTGGAGATGAGGATGGGTTCCAGCCCTCTCCAGAGCAGAGTTCTAAACTTGGTGTCCCTTGATGTTCTAAGCTCTTCCCCTCACTCAGTTGCAAAGAGCATTTTTTCCATATCAAACATCAAGAGAAGAGGGCAAAAATGCTTGGAAGAGTGCCCATTGTCAAACTGGACCCTCTTCAAACCCGTGACCTTATATATGACCCCCACTTTGGAGTGTAAGAAGGGAGAGAGAAGAGAAGAGGAAGGGATTGGAGAAAAAGAACACACAAAACCTTCTGTCTTGATCTGTTCTGACTATTGTAACATAATACTATAGACTGTAATTTATAAACAGTAGAAATTTATTGCTCACAGTTCTGGAGGCTAGGAAGTTCAACATTAAGGCACCAGCAGATCCAGCATCTGGTGAGGGCTTACTGCTTCAAAGACTGTATTTTCTCACTATGTCCTCACATGGTGGAAGGGGCAAGGCAGCTCCCTTCAACCTCTTTTATAAGGTTAATAATCCCATTCATGAGGACAAAGCCTCTATGACTTAATCACTTCCCAAAAGGCCCCACTTCTTAATACTATCACATTGGGTATTAGGTTTCAATGTATAAATTTGTGGGGGCCACCATCATTCAGTACATAGCAACTACTAACCATATTTAGAAATGAAAGAGGAATTAATCATACCTCAATAATGCTGAGAAAATTTTAAAAAGAGGACAAGTTAAATAACCTAAAGAAAAAAAAACAGCACTAACTTTTTCCATCCCCTTTCTGTCATAAGCAGCTACCCAACCCTATCTCAAATATATCAGAACAATAAAAAGAAAACAAGAATTCTTCTCCCTACTAATATAGAGAGAGGTGTGGGTAAATCCAGGTGTTAAAAGTTGGCTTGACCTACTTTTAGTCAGGTGATAATTGCTTTATGCAGAAATGAGTTCTTGAAAAATTACTAATAAATGTTTTGATAACTGAATAAAACTTAGATTAACTCATTAGGAAATGGGCTATGATGAATTTGAGTGACTTATCTTTTGTGTATATTTATGTTTTCAAGTGAAATTGCTTCTCACTTAACGAAAGTTAACTTATTTAATATGGCCTAGGTTTTATTTTTTAAAAAGACACTATGTAGCACTGGAAAGGCACAATATATGTTGCAGGTTCCATGAACCAAAGTTCCTATATTTATTCATAGGGGAACCCTTCAGTTTTCACACATATACTTATTTTTATTTTAGATATACTTTTAACTAGCTAGTTACAGCTAGAACAGAGAATACAGTACTCAGAATGAAACTCATTATACTAGTGAGAAGAAATAGCTGAATGACATGACGTACATAAGAAATATATTTTTAAAAAAGAAAGAAAGAAAAGGAAACACCCAAGAACTCAAAGAACATGGAATCTTGGTGTCATTTAGCAGGAGTGCGTACCCCAAAGTACAAAACTGAATAACGGTATAACAGGGTGTTCAATATTCCTAATGATGTCTCTACGTCAACAAGAAAATTAGCTCTGTATTTCCTGTTTAAGAGGGCAGAAAAGAATACAGTAAAGAAAGAATGCCATCTAAAATTATTACAAAATAAATATATTTTGACAATTAAAATGCAAATTCCTGTTGCCTTGGAAATTTTCAGTTATGTGGATTGCCCAGAATCATGAAAAACTGAGATTTTATGTCATTGCATTGGTTTAAAATGAATATCTCACTCCCCCCAGAAAAAAATAAAATAAAATAAATATACTCATTCAATCTTGCTGCTGTCACTAACAATCGGTGGCTTAAAGATGCACAACTTGAGTTTCTTTAACTCTGCTAAAAGATACTGAGGCCCCCACCTTGGAGAAACATTGTCAGTGCAGGACTCACGGTGTGCAGGGGTTTTCCCTCCATATGCAAATCATAGTGGTTTCCTCCTGGAATGGAGTTTTTCAACCTGAGTACTATTGACATTCAGGGCCAGATAATTTTTTGTTGCAGGGATCCGTCCTATGCACTCTACTTGTTTAGTCTACCCACTAGATGCCACCAGCGCCCTACCCCCAGGTATGACAAACAAAAATATTTTCAGATACTGCCAAATATACCCTGGGGAGCAAATTTGTCCCTGGTTGAAAACTACTATCCTGGAGGGAAATCAGAGAATCCCTGGTTGATCCTTTGGTCCTCTTAAGACCAAGTCTAAGTTTCGTTCCGCATCAATTAAAAGAGTGGTATGAATGCCTGGCCATAAGGTCTTGTTTATCTGCGTTTGTTGGTGCACAGATAAATAAGACTTGGCCGCAGTAATTAAATTCACTTGGTAAACATGCATGCCACAGTTTGCTAATCTCCATATAAAATAAGCTATGTGCTCTGTTGACAACTGCTGCCAGGCCTTCAAAAGCTTGTTCTGGGGGACTCTATTCCCAGTTGTTCTAAATAAACAACCTGGAGCTATAGACTCAGAATTATAAAGCCTGCCTTATGCTGTTTGAACAGAGTGCACCATACCTCCCACATCTGAGGGTGGTCAGTCCCATGTGCCACTTCAGAAACTGGATGGAGGCCTTGTCGGTTATGGTGTTTAGGATAAAACTGAATTGGAAAGAGGCCTTGTAAACTGAAAGGGGAGAAGGATAATTCTAAGGTTAAAAGATCCCACTGTGCTTTGGAAGTATTTACTTGATGAACTATGGAAAAACTTTTTATTTTTGGCCCCTATCAGGATCAAAGTGCCTGACAGCCATGCCCTCTCATGGGGTTATAAATACCCAAGTAGGGAGACAGTGTGGTATGAGAGAAAGACCAAGATTTGAGTCCAACAAAGTTGAAACCTGAAATCCTTACATATTACTTGTATTACCTTAAAGCAAGTCACTTGTTTCTTGGAGCTTGCTTCTTCTCCTAAACAGTGAATCGTGTGAGGATTAAATGAGAAAACACGTGGAGTCTCCAGTGCAATGCTGCATACATTGCATGTGCTCAGTAAATAGCAGCTAACGATTATCATTGTTATTGTTAAACCATATCAGACCACAGGAGCGTCATGCAGAGCAGGCACTCAATCATTTTTATTGAATAGATGAATGAAAAACATAGCCTTGCCTTTAGCAAAGAACATTCCTTGAAATGTATCCACACCACGTTTTTCAAAATTGAGCAGTTCTATGTACTCTGCTCCCCACCCCTAACCACTTAAACAGACAGGAAATTCAATTTCTGTTATACCAGAAAGGCAGGCATTTTTTTTTTTTTTTTTTTTTCCATTTTGAGGAGTTTTGGAGCTGTTGCCCTCACTTCATTTCTCCGTAAGAATGTTTTCTGAAGGGGAACATACAATGTATAGCGTGGGGCCAGCACATGATGAGTATGTACTCAGTAAATGAAAGAACTAGTGAGAAAACGGATGGCCTCTTTAAAAGAAGATTCTTTACAATGAAGTGGAGATGATGTTAAATAAATGCGTTTATTCCAATCCGTTAACTTGTAGGGTGACAGCAGTGTGAGCTGACAACTGGTGATGAACAGCCAGGAACCCAGTGAGTCCCCTCCAAGGCGCAGGCTGACCTCACAGCTGTGTGGGTTCCCTGGAGACTTCGTAGAGAAGTCTGAGATCAAAGCGAGGTTAGGTGTCCCATCAGTTCCTACAGCTTCCAAATGTCCTCCACTGTGTTTCCCCCGGTGTCTTTTCTCACTGACATTAGTTTTCTCACTCTCCCCCCACAGGGATCGCCAGTGGAAGTTCATAATGTGCCGGATGACTGATTACAACTGTGAATTTGCAAATGTTTAGATTTGCCACAGACTAAATCTGGGTGAAGGGAAAGGGGCCAGGAGACCCGAGGGTGTCCACACGTGTTAACATCCGTTGGAACGCCTCTAGCTGTTTCTGCTGCTCTCTTTTCTTCTCCCTCAGCGGGTGGCTGCAACGCCAGCTTCCTGGGCCTTTCTATTATCTCACGTATAATAAAATCCACAGTTAAACCCTCTTTCTCACTTTCAACATGTTCCATAGCAACCGTTTTGTATGACTGGCAATGGCTTCCTTGCACACCATATTTGCAGCCGGGCTTCCGGAGCACCTGCCCCAGCCTTGCTACTACAGAATTTATTACAGAATGAGCTGCAAGTTCAGCAGAGTGGAGTGCAGGGGCAGAGCTTGAAGAGGGGGCACCGAAAGTCCCTACCACTGTCTGTTTGATTGACACCCAGAGTTCTCACCAAGAGCAGGCCTTCTGCCTTGAGGAACGTGCTTCCACCCTGCCCCTGCACATGAGCCATGCATGCTCGGAAGTCCAAGGGCAGAGCTCTGCACCCCAGGATTGAGGAAACTGGGGGGGGGGGGGGGGGAAAGGGGG